AGAGCTGGGCTCGAACCGCTGGAGAGCCAATCATTTCTGTCCGGCAACTCCGGCGTCATTAAGCCCTTGCGCCACCGCGTCCTTTTATCATGGGATAATTTATCATGGGATAAGCACTGTAATAATGAACAGAGCTACCTTGCCTCAAAACCATTTACCTATGCCAGCCACTGAAAACTAATTACAGCACCAGAAATGACATAACTTTCGTTTTCAAGAATAAATATTGTGTAAGTGTCCATGTAAGACACTTATGTATTATTAGTAATGTATCAGTACTAATCCTATGTATATATATCACTGCTTTCAATTACCTGCTTCTGTATATTTTAAGCCTACTTTCTCTTCTTCATCCTTTGCTTTGGGTGGTGGCCAGACAGTCTGGAGTCTTCCTGGTGTCTTGTCATCCTGTTCTGAAGGAATTACATCAGTCTGATAAAATAAAATAAGACAAAAATTGTATTACAATATACAATATAAAACTTCATCAACTATTGTAGATACATATTTTCTTCTTTCCCTCTTTTCATTTTGCATAACTCTCATCTTGAAGAAGAGGAACTTGCAAGAAGAAAGCTTGCACATATTTTGGGACTTTTTAGTTGGTTCTGGTGGAATTTAATCCCATTGTTATTTTTTTCCCTTAGTGGATCACAATGATTTTCTGTTTTTTCCTTTTTATAGAAACTATCACAGTAACAATGGTCCCTGAAAGCATGTTTTCCCTGTATGTATTTATTTCCTTATTTCAAACATGGGACTACCAACTGTAGAAAATGATAGACTAATGCATAATGGCATTCAATTAAATTGTCAGTGTCAAACTACAGTGAAGGGCCAGTAACAGTTTTTAATACTCACTGTGTGAATTTGAGTAGGGTAATAATTATCAACTTAAACTACCCCACAGGTTTATTTTGAAGATAAAAGTAAATATACATCATGACCCTCTTGGACAAGAACAGAATATTAATGTGTTAACTATAAATACATTATTCTTAAATGTTTTTACATTGAATATTTACCCACCAATATGAATAATTGTTGACTTGCATTTTAGAAAAAGTCCAAATACTGGGTAAGCCATAAATCTATAAATTATAGGTAAATAAATTTCTCAATTACCATTTCTGTCTCTCTTTTTTTTAAACGGAATATAATCTGACAATTTATGCACATAAGATTTTGCCTAACATATCATGATAACCTATATTTGTAGTAATGTTCACTGCTATTTTACACAACACTGTTTTTATGCACAACTTTCATCAAAAGAGTCTAATATTGTGCTGAGAACTGTAAAATAAAATGGGGGAGGGCAATGTCAGTTTGGTGATACCATTGTGGATATTTTTTCTACATCAGAAGTTACTATCATTATTTTAATTCATACGACTCAAGAAACCTAATTAGTATTAAAAACTCCAGGTCTTTGTAACTATATTCTAGACGTAGCATACAAGAGAATCAATCAACCTACTGGTTTTGTTTCTGTTGCTCCATCACCAGATTTTGATTTAGACCTCTCAAATATTGCCATCAATGATTCCTTTTCATGTCTCATTTTGCGTTTTATTGCTTCTAACTCTGAAGTGTCAGCAGTTGTCTCTTTTTTAGGAGGACGTGTAAATAAAGCTTTAAATGCATCCAGGGCAGATTCTGCAGGACTTGGTTTCATTTCTTCATATGGATCCATTCCCACAGAAGATTTCCTTTCTTGGACATCCCCAGATTCTGGTACTGCCTCATCCATAGCTTTCTCCTCAGCTTTAGGCCCTAAGAACTGAGACAGTTGTTCTAGAAAGGTAGGAGAACTTTTAGGCTCTGACATTTTCTTCTTGCTTGTCAGATCAGGTGCAAGATTTGACTTCTTAACAGGCTGTCTTAGTTTAAGCATAGCCAGATCACTGTCTTTCTGCTTGATTTCGGTGACTGTTTCCTCCAGATCTGCAGACAAGCCTTTCTTTCGAACACGTAATCCACTAAAGAAAGCTGGGAGCTGAAAGGCTGGTTTTGCAGGAGAATCAGTGCTGCAGTTACCTGGGAGAGGTCCCTGCTCTTCTCCAGGTTCCTGAACATCCTTTGCGGTAGCAAGTGAACTAATATTCTCCTTGCTTAGTGTTCTAGTCTCTGAATCTGAATACATTTCGGGTATTGTATCAGAAGGCCATTTGCAACTTGGTAGAATTGGCTCTGTGTTATCCCCTGCTGTCATACCATGCATTTCTGTATATAGTTCCGTGTCTTCTTTTTCTTCATTTTCATCATTATCCTCCAATGATACAGCGCAATTTAACACAGGGTTGTTTGTTATATTTTCATGCCTTTTTAGATCTGTAGCCTCATTGTCTGTGTCACTTGCTGTGTGAGTCAAAGTATCCTGAACAAGAATGGGATCCTTATGATCTTGTTTGCTGAATTCAGACAAAGGAGAGTGGCTAGAATAGGAATTGGAGAAGGATGGCCCCTTCTGCTCCAATTGCTGTATTTCCAAGTCTACTGTGCCATAAACATCAGCCTGATGATCATTTGGGATAAGGGTGTTGTCTACAGAGTTATTATGTATGCTGCCATTGTCTTCAGAGTCAACAAAGTTTTCAGCATAAATTCTGCACACACTTGAGTCACCAGTAATGGCTTCTGCAGGGTTATTTGGAGCCCAGTCATCCATTTCTGAGACTGCCTCAAAAACAAATATGCCCCTTGTATCAGCTTCTGGAATAGCCTGAGCACTACCTTCCCCTTGTGCCATTTCTGGAAGCAGTTGAACTGTATCTGGGTCACCATCTTCATTTACCCTGCTCTTCTCATCCTCATTGTCCACATGGCTATCAATATCTCCGTTGACCTTTTGAAACCCTTTTAAAACTACTTGCTCTTTTGAAGTTCCTGGTTCTAATTTATCTGTAAATCCAAAGAGGGCTTTCATGGAAAATTTAGTTAAGAAATTATTGCCTGCTTCAGTCTCCTTTGCCCTCCCTGGATTAGAGAGCTCACTGCAATCAGAACCTTGATTTTTTTCCATGTTGGGCAAATCACAACACACATATATTCCTGGAACAAGAACTATTTATTTCTATATAATTACTTCCAAGAAATGTTTTTCATTCAGTCTAGTAAATTAAATCATCATGGAGGGAAGCTGTTTCTCCAAATTATACACTGTTTTCTTTCCTACAATACAGTAGTATGAAATGCAAATTCCTGCCGAAGTTTAGAACTTTAGTACAGAAGAAATAGGAAGATTTCACTCATGTTGCATACCACATTTTCTCAGCAGCAACACGGTTTACTTTTTTACACAAAGGCCCTTTTTTGTCAAGGCAAACCTGCTGCCAACTAATCAGCTGAAAAACAAGATGAACACTTGCATTAATTCCTACTGTTCGGTGTATTCCAAAGCTTTTTACTTACTAGAAAATAGAATTAAAACAACAATAAGTTAGTACTGAACAGCTGGTACTTGCAGTTTGCTATTTCCTTATGCCGGCTCAGGAGTCACAAAAATTTGTCAGCAGAAAACTTCTGAAAGATCCCCACTGTGGTCAAAAGCTGTTTTAGCAGAATCTTCAAAGAGGTTATGTGTCAGAAATGTGGAAAATCCTGATGGATGGGAATTTATTTCAAGTTCTTTGCTAAAACATGCCTTCTCTTCTGGAGAATTCCAAATGCTGAAGAGTGCAAGTTAACTGACTGTTCTGCCCTTGAAGCTGAATAATAATAAGAAAAAGAAAACACTCTTCCGCTTTGGTGCAGGTTTGGTCTGGAATGTAGCTTGCAGTGAGTGAACACCATCCAAGAGGACTGGTGTCATATTACTGTGTTTCAAACTCTGCACTGCTATTTCTGTGGACCATAAACAGGTATTTATCAGGCAGTTTCACCACACCCATGGATTAGAAGCTACATGGGAGGGCAAAGTAAACAGCCACAACCCAGAATATACTCATTAACTCTGCAAGAACAGGACATATGGAAATACGTATTTCCGCTGTCTATCTTTTCACTATACAAATGTTTATACTGGTCTGCACACATACTGTACACACACAACCACTTAATTTCTGAATACCTTTACAGTTTAGGGCTTGTGATTGATCTTATTTTCTCATTTTATGAAAGTATCCATACTTTCTTTCAACAAATTCCATACAGGTATGGTTGTTGGTCTGTTGCAACTAAAATCACAAAGATCAAACAGCGTAACACCAAACCTAAACCGAGCTGTTGTGTATAAAAATATTAGTTATCAAGAAGGCATCACAGTGTAAAGTGGGTCAAGGAGCAGTTTTCTAGTTAGTTGTTTAATGTTATCACAAATTTCTTTTCTACAATATAAATTTATTAGTTGATTTACATTGGGGGTGTGCAATTATTTCCAGGCTGAAGGCAGACTTGGCTGTTGAGTTGAATGGCATGGGCCACACTTCAAAAATCAGACAGGGTCAGAACAAAAAGAAAAGTTTAATTTAAATGGAAATAAAATTAGAGTAATTAAATGCAGCTAATATGATTCTTTAATATAATAATCCATACAATCTATCACATTAGAAATTAGTAACATGGCTACTTGGGGAAGGGCTTGAGGAACTTCATGCAGAGCTTTTGATGGCTGCAAAAACCCTGGGGATTCAACAGGTTTTTAAAATATCATTTTTTCTGTCTTGCCTATTCCATTAGCTGGAATACTAACTTTTCTTCACTCCTTCCCTCTTCGGTATCTGTTCATGGGGCCTAGTGTACCCTTGAGAATGGTACTAGATGAGGAGGGGGGCAGAGTTTCCTTACATGAAAAGAGAAACCGCCAACTCTGTAGATAGACAGCAAGCCTCCTTATCAACCCTACAAGGTAGACCAGGCTAAGAAACCAATGCCATAAAGGTGAAGACTACTTTTATTATAATGGCTATATAGTAAAAGGATCTTGCAAGTCTGAATGTGCTTCCCTCCTTCCCTTTATCTTTGTGTCAGCTAGGGAAGGGCATGTCTGAGACATTTTCTCAAATTAATTTCTTGGCCTGACTTCGTAATGGCTTTACCTCCTGTCCTTCAAGGCCATTCCCTATTCCCTCCTCACCTCCCCAAATAGTTGTAACACAGAGAGGCTCAGTTTGGTTCACCAAAGCTGTCTTCAATCACAGTCTCCTAACAGCAGCTGTTAGGGGACTATAATTTAGGCACTGGATTCCTGATAGGCTTACAGCATTATGAAGAAGCTAAAGCAGTTACATTTTAAGACTTGGATGTACATGTGTTACATTTTGGTTTGGGGAATGCACATCTGAGGTACAACAAAAGCAGTTTATGTTTTAATTGAAACAATTCTTTTTTTTTTAAATGCTATTACTATTTCTACTGATAGATGAAGACTTGTGCATAATTCCACAAGCGTATATAGTTGTTGGAGAACTAAACTGTCTGATTGACAGTGGTATCACTCCTGCAGCGTGCCATTAATCTGAATAGTGGAAATTCCTCAGTTTCTGGGAAGGCAGGGAAACCTTTTGGAATCAATGGCATCATGGGAATATTAACATTGGAGTACAGGTGTGCTGGCTCATGAACATGAATGCTTCTTTATGAACTGAACATTAGTGAGTATCCAGATTGGCTTGCAGTAATGTTTATCATTAGATAGTTTAACTACTAGATAGTTGCTACATTGCAGCCAAGGAAACTATCTTAAAGAAGTTCTAAAAGATGTGGCCCCTAAAGTTTAAGCATCTGTCTTCCAAAATGCCAATTGTTTTTTAATACAGATCTCATTTTTTCCTGGCATTATGCTCTTTGAACTGCAATCCCTGTACTTTGCAGTTCTGTACTGCCTTTTTTGAGTGGAGTCATGGCCTACTCACCATGATGAACATCATATTATTCAAAATATATATAATTATAGTTAATTATTATGCTTTGAAATTTAACATCAGTGATGTAATATCTTAAATGGAGTATTTGCAAACAGGGTAATGAGACTTTATTTGCTTTGGCTAAATAGGTCACAGTTCTTTTCATATATTCAGCTTTTACATTTATATTTACTTGTTAAATGCAAGCAATGTCCACTGTTGACTGATTGATAAATAAATAAAAAATTTAAAGACTAGAAGTGCCATATAAATCTTTAAACATTTCGACTCTGACATCTGAAAGAATTTTTTTTAAGTCCAAAGTTCCATCACAAGGCTAAATTAAAGAAATTAGGGTGAGTAAAAATAATAAATATATCATTCTCAATTGCATTCTAGCACTGTAAAAGTATATTCTAAGGTTTTGTCTCCCTCAAATGTAACTGCCACTGCCACACTTTCCTCATGCTATCGTATAACTAAAATATAGATTTCAACAAACTCAATTTGAAAAACAGCAGGGGGATTGGCATAGACTTAAGAAAAAGATGGTATCAATGGCAAATTGTTTCCTTCATACACAATATTATCTTACAAAGTATACTGTAATTGCCACTGTATTGCCTATAGGAATTATGATTCCAATGGAACAACCTCATTATCAGTTATCATCTCTGAACATGCTTCACACATCAAAGCCTAGGACATTACTGTAATACAGTTATGGTTAAATGCTTCCGGTATTCAGAAGGACTCAAACAACTTAATGATCAGTTAAAAGCTCTCCTTCCTCTTACAACAAACTCATACTATTGAGAGCTTGTTTGGAAGCAAAGCATATTGATGGCCTTAAATGAGAGTAACAAGCAACCTGGAGCTCTTGGGCATTTATAGCTGCATGCAAAAGTTAAGTCAAATTGTTTGTTGAACTTGTACACAACTGCTCATAAAATAGTAAATATACATTCAAATGTGCAGAAAGATCTTGTGTTGAACCCTGCACCATGTAGAGGGAGTTTCAGCTTCAGTTCACTCATGGATTCATTCAAACCTACCATTTGACCAGCGATGCCTGAACTTTTACATGCAAATGTATATATTCGTGAACACCTCCTTTGGTATCCACCTTGATTTAGTTATTGAAACTGAATTTAGGATTTAGATTGAAAATAAATGAATGTGTTAAATAAACGTAAATAAAGTATTAAACAGGAGCTTGACATGCCATAAGGCAAAGTACAGACATCACCTTGATGTCTAAGAAGTAATGTTCTTAGAAAATAAAGGCAGTTGTTGCAGCCCAGTTGTTTGCTTCAAAATGTGAACACCTTCCTTGAAGAAAAATAAATGCAAGCTAGGCTAGTTAGGAAGCATTCTGAAGGGACTTCACCAGTTTCTTTCTTTCTTTCTCTCTCTCTCTCTCTCTCTCTCTCTGTAGTTCTCAACCTTTGCAGTACCACACCCTGTAAACCGATAAATGAATTTATGCAGTCCCTCTCATGAAAATACGGCCTAAATAATAAATAATAATTAAATAAATAATAACTAATCTGCTGTGGCATACGGTTTTGACAACTGCATAGACTCATGAATTTAGCTATTATTCAAAACTCATTCCAGGCTTGGCAGCTCATATTGTCCAAGAAGGCTTTTAACAAAATTGTAATCTCCTTTTACATCCTAACATTTGTTCTTTTTCTTTCAGCCTTATCTGTTCATCTTACCCAGTAAATGGGAAAGACAACTGATGAGCCAGGAGTAAGAAAAAAAATCTCCTTGAGTAAAATTCCTGGTGTCTATGGGGACATGTCATTTTCTTGGCAATAGTACAAAAGTGGTTTGCCATTGCTTTTTTACAGGATGTTTTTGTCTTTCCAACCTAGCTTTCAAGCCTGGCAGCCTTCCATTCAAGTATTAATCAGATTTCACCCTGTTTAGCTTTTAAAGGTCAGCTAAATCAGTGTTTCTCAACCTCAGCAACTTTAATATGTGTGGACTTCAATTCCCAGAATTCGCCCAGCCAGCATGC